GTGTGTGTGTGTGTGTGTGTGTGTGTGTGTGTGTGTGTGTGTGTGTGCGGATAACCTCCATTTGATGGCAGAGCAGACAGGCATATGCATCCAGGAGAACCTCGTGTGATAAATTTTTTATTGCCAAGGTAGCAACAGCGTTGCTTATTTTTATTCTTCATCCTCTTCAATCCAGTCAGACTTGAGGAAAGAACAGTAGATAAGAAGCCACAAAAGTCAAATGTTTTTCTTCAGTGTGCACGTTATCCCTGATGTTAACCCGTTCTATGCCTTTCCTGTCACTCTCACATTAGAACACACTCACACTTCTCTCTTTTTCTCATTTTTCTTTCCTCAACTGCTGAGCAATCACAAAAATATAAATGAAATTCCACAATGAAAGTCGGAAAGGGGTTGGGGTGAGGGATGTGGGGCGTGCAGAGGAAAAAGGTTTTAGGGAAAGGTCTCTGTAACCTTTATGAGCCACTGACGGTGGTTAACGATCCACAATGATTGTTCATCTTTAAAAAGTTTTGCCATTCAGCCCATTTCTTTTTGTTTCTCGTTCGTTTTTGCGGGGGGAAAAAAACACATAATACTCATATTCATTGTGTACCTGCAATGCAAATCCTAGCTGGCTATTTCTTTGTTCCCTCCTGCAGTTAAGAGTCCCTCTCTGCTCCCTGGGGAGGGAGGGGGGGGTCTGTCTGGGGTCTTCTGATAGGCCCCCGTGATGTGAAGTGGCTGCTGGCGGATCCTCTTCCTGCTTAATTGGCTGTACCTGAGGCAGGGGGGCAAGGTGTGATTGCGATAAAGAGAAAACGCTGTGCTTGACTGGTTTTAGTACTCTTATCTATAATCTCCAGATTGATTATGGTCTTTCTGCCAGCCTTGCAAATTGTTCAACCCTAGCGACTGTACTGGAAACTACTTTAACTCTGTCTTGGAGGAAGCGAAATGCACTCCAGGGAGGTTACATACTGGCCACTGATTTGGAGTTTCCTTTGCCCCAATTTCTATGAATGCATTTGCATTCGTATGGGAGACTCTTTTAGAATTCTTTATCCATCAAATGAAAATATTAACATCTCGGACTTTTGCTGTCATTTGTAACAAATCTTTGTCGATTAGTTGAACTAGAGAAGCATGTCCCTGCTGGTGTTGTACAGTTAGCTATATTCTGCCATAGCTACTGGAGACTATATTTTCTCAGTGTTCCATGAGTAAATACAGCCTCGCTATATCACTTCCACAGCCTGAGACGCTCTCTGTAGAGCCACTTTCTTCCCTCTTTTCGTTTCTCTTTTGCCGGCTTTGAGTGGCTGTTGGGGCTGAAAGAGCAGCTAATGGGTTGTGAAATGTCTCCAAAGCTCCAGCAACAACAGAAGCTAATTTCTCAAAGCCCTGCTGAAACACACTAACGGCGAGGAGCAGTGACAGTGCGAAGAGAAGAAAGGGGGGGGGAGGGGCTTTGTTGGTTTTCGGTAATGTGTCTTACAGGCGTTTTTTGGTAAGCTGGACTGGGGTTTAGCTTTTTTCCATGCAGATCCTGAATGTGAATCATTGGTGGGTGGACTGCTGACGTTTAGGAGTGATGGGCCTTTCCTGTTTCAAGTCCGAATTTTGACATTTTCCAGTTTGCAATTTGGAGTGAAGTCAATAAATGAGCTTATGTTTATTTTAATGGTCATCTGCTTAATGGTCGGAGCATTTCTGTGCTCTAGAAGAATGTTTGAAGACATTCTTACCACCGAGTGCCTTTGTACGGAGAATTCTTGATCATTTGTATGCATTTGCTCTAAACTGTGGTGAAGTGTGCAGCCCCTTCCGCCTCTCTTCCCCCCCTCAGTACCAATTAAAGCTGTTTTTCTGCAGCAGACCTCGGACTGATGAAGACAGCCACTAAGAGTTCTTGAAGTAGAGTCACAAAGGGCCCGTACGGCAGATGGTTTGCGCAGTGATACGAGCGGAGAGAGAAGAAGAAGCAAAGGAGGAAACAAACAAGCATAAAAATGGCAGCCCGTCTCCAGCGAGAAGCACCTATTTTCCACCCAATTTAAGACATATTCTTTCCAAATTTTTCAAACTTTTCCTCCAAAACGCTGTCAAGCCCGCCGGAGACCAGGGAGAACACAACAGAAGATCTTTGCTTCTCTCTCTCTCTTTCTCTCTCTTTTTTTTCCCCACTACAATATCTTCCAAAACCACTGAGACAACTCAAGTATTTCTCTGGGTAAAAGAAAAAAGAAAAAAAAAAGAAAACTGCTGGGAGCTGCTTGATCTCAAGCTTTGACCAGCTCTCCCAGCTGAATGGAAACAAGCTTTGGTCTGGCCTTTCGCTACAAAGGCGGAGACGGCGGAGAGTTGAGGCACAGAGGACGCTGCCTAATGGCTACGAGTCCGACTGCTCCCGCAGGATTACATGTTTCAGAAAGATAAAGCTTGATCTGTATTTTTTTTTTCAAGAGAAAAAAAAAAGCTTTCTTTGTGATGCAGATGAGAGCGGACAGGAAACTTACTGGAACCAATGGCGTGTGAGGCTATGTGCTGATCTTCAGAGAGAACAAACGAGGAGAAAGAGGGGGCCGAAGCGGTTTGTTCTGCAAGCGCTTCACTTTCAAGGCTCGTGTTGAAAGATCGCATGCATCAGATTTGATCTTTTACAATTGTTTTTTTTTTTTTTTTTTTTAAAGAAAATACTCTTTTTGAGTCATTTATGTCCTGCTTGCATCGTTGAAATGCGCCTTTGTTAGTATCTACCATCTTGTATACTCAACCAATTAGCTCACACTTCATTTTAACACCCAGTCTGAGACTAATGAAGTCCCATTTCCTGGGGTTAATTATACCAACATTAAGTAATATTATGAGGAACAGGAAATGGCATTACGCTCTTTAGTATCTCTCCCTTTTATCATGACCTCATGCTGTGGAAGATTTTACCCCTCTCCAAATCTCTCTCCGTCCTTTTTTACATAGATTTCTCCTCTGCTTGACACTTCCAGGAGCATCATCCTGTTTCTCTTAGCAACAGGACCGGCCTGCACAGCAGCACAAAGGCCCTGTGAGACGAGGTTAGCTCAGGCAAATCCCCGCGCAAATTAGAGGGTTCGGACTATTATTAAAGCCAATTTGCTACTCCCAGCTACCAACAGTTAAATTGCAATGTCTGTTGAACAAGGAGACGGGCGGCATTTATTGCTCCTTTACCTCTCCCCCCTCCTTCCCTAGTGGAGCTGCACGTTGGCACAAGTTCAGCTTTGAAAGTGTGTCATCCTTCATGATCTGGGCTGGGATCGGGGAGGTAACGTGGGGCTGATGTTATAGCGCGAGGCTTGGACTTCAAA